GGGCAGTCTTTTTGCTTGAATAGTAGAATTAGGCATCAAGAGGATCTTCAACAGTTTACTGGGTGGTGTGTTGAGTATATTTCAGATACTCTCCCACCCAGAGGATCCAGCGTTGTCCCACTGAGATCTACTCGTCTTCTGCCACCACTCGGCCTAGCGCCATGTTGTCGCTTATGATGTCTGAAAGGCCCTTTGGCTTTTCTGAGTTCAGATGGCGCACCTCCCAATGATGCTGCGCTGGGCACCATCCCTCCTCTCTTGTGATTGAAGGGCTTGACCCCCTGGGATATGTGACGTGCATATCCCAGGAGGCAAAGGGAGCACAGTGCATGTCATCTGCCTAGGCAAATGGCATGCATGGGGAGACTGGCTGCACTTTTCTTTTTTTGAGGGGGGGGGGGGGAAAGTTATAGCTAATCATGTAGAAGAGGGGTGGAGAGGAGAGAGGTACCTATAGATCTGCTGTAAGGAGGTTCAGGTAGGTGTGTATAGCTAAAAAGAGGAACTTCACTTTTTATGTGTGTCTGATACTTGATTCTGTACTTTGGATCCAAACACTATCCAGGGGGAGAAGTAAGTATATGCTGCTGGGGATTGGGGGGGCTAAAGCAAACCTATTTCTTTGTCCCTTGTTATCAGACAGGACAGGAAGTAAATAAAAATCTCCCCAATGATTCTTGCCTATTGTCACCAGAACTACTGACCCCTTTGGAAGCTATTACTTCTACTCCTGTTGTAGGGACATCTGTGAACATTTGGCTTTTGACTGTCTCTGGATTACAGTGGTCATTGTGATAGTAAGAGTAGATCTCCTTATCCATCCAGCCAGCAGTGTTGATATTCCCAACACTAAAAAGAAAAACAAGGTTTTGGTTGGAGTTCTACTTTAAAAAAAAAACCTGCAGTAGCAAGACTCCCAGGTAAAGTAGGAACAAAGCATTTCCAAAAGGTCTGTCTTAGCCTGGATTCCCATAATGGAGAAGATTAGAACCTACGGGATGATGTAGCCTACCAGTGGCCACTCATGGTTTTGGGTTCATTGACATTTCAGATTTGTGTAATTGAGCGGATGTATGAAATTTTAGCTCAGTTTTAGTCAGTGTGTATTATTTTTTTTTGTCACCCCGTACATACCTGGTTACTAATTATTTTATTGTTCCTCATAAATATTTAGGAGCCAGAAGGTGTTGCAAGGATATAGAGATGCAGGTCTGATTCATGTAAGTGGAAGTGCATCTTGTACAGTTTCAGGCATTTTGTTAGCATACTATAGTAAGGTTACAAGGTCAGTTTTGATGTTAGAAAAATGAAATGTTTTGTTACAGGAGTTTACTGTTGAGAAATGGGTACCAGACCCATAGTATGAGCAGCGGAACCAGGGTAAATGGCTAAATACACTTTCTACAGGTAGGCTGTTTTAAGCAAAATGTAGAGGATGTCATTTCTGGATTTGATTTTTGCTAGTTATAACTTTTGCATAGCTAGTCTTGTGTTTTACACAGATCTGCTCTGTATAACCAGGCAGACGACATACCGTATTTTTTGTTCCATAAGACGCACCTGACCAAATAGACGCATCTAGGTTTTAGAGGAGGAAAACAAGAAAAAAAAAAAAAACAATGCACTGCAGACGCGGCACAGGGGAGGACCAGAGACAGCGGACGCGGCACAGGGGAGGACCAGAGACAGCGGACGCGGCACAGGGGAGGACCAGAGACAGCGGCCGCGGCACAGGGGAGGACCAGAGACAGCGGCCGCGGCACAGGGGAGGACCAGAGACAGCGGCCGCGGCACAGGGGAGGACCAGAGACAGCGGCCCGCGGCACAGGGCAGGACCAGAGACAGCGGCCGCGGCACAGGGCAGGACCAGAGACAGCGGGCGCGGCACAGGGCAGGACCAGAGACAGCGGCCGCGGCACAGGGGAGGACCAGAGACAGCGGACGCGGCACAGGGGAGGACCAGTGACTCAGACCTTTGGGGAGTGGGTACCCCAATTTGACACTTACCCGCTCCCACTGTGATCGTCTCTTCCCGAAGTCTTCTGGGACACGTGACAGGTCCCAGAAGACTATGGGGCCATTCACAAAGTGCAGCGTTTCTTGCACATGCGCAGTGGGCACCAGGCTATGAAGCCGCAAGGTGCCCACACTAAAGATGATGACACCGCTAGACCAAGGATCAGGTTCTGTTGCACAGAAGAGCCGAGCGGTCGCCCCGGTATTCTAACACAGTGGCACTGGGGGGGGGGGGAAATACCAGGCCAGCTGCTCCATAAGATGCACAGAAGTTTCCCCCCATTTTTTTGGGGGGGGGTGGGGGGAGTGCATCTTATGGAGTGAAAAATATAGTACTTTCTGTGTGTTTTGGATTCAGACAAAAATACACTGAAGCGCATGTAGTGTGAAGGGGCCCTAAACGTACGTACTGCTGGGTGCACTGCCTAGCCTCCGCAGTTGTTACTGTGAGCGTGACAAGCTGCTGGCAGTAGGGCTGGAAGGTGGGCCTGTGCCCTCCCGCCACACTTACACACCGAGCCTCATGTACTGAGGATAAACACCCAGTGTGCATATAGGGCCTTAATCACAGGCTTGGCTGTACAGAGTTGCTGAATTTAAATTGCGTATTTAGCTGTTTTATATGGAGTTCTGCTTACAATCATGCCTCCTTGTACTCTAAAATCCATCCAGTATTGCTGGTGCCTTCATTGCTGCCTGGCCTCTGTTAAATTTACTGACAACACAAGTAACAAATACATTTGGTGTAGCCAGCTGTAGTGATGTGGGCTGCCTTTTGGAAGTGTCTACATTTCTGTGGCTTTACAATGAGATTGAAGTTAGTAGGAGAGGTAAGTTTCTTAGAAAAGGTCTACTCTAAGACTTGAGATAGTTACAGGACCTGTGGTGTGATTTTTCCTAAGGCCGAGTTCATAAAGGCTTCAGCATGTAAGTGCTAGTCTGAGGAATGGTGTGTACAACAAGTCTTTCAAAACTTTCAGCAAGCTTTGGACTGCTTTCTAGAGGTCTTCTTAGCACTCTTCAGCTCCATCCTGGCAGTATTGAACATCTATTTAGATTTACGATTGCTGGCTTTCCCTTAAAGCTGAGACTTAAAGTAGAACTCCACTCTCTCAATTAACATTGACTATTCTGAATCCTCAGGCTGCTAGTGTTAGTAAATAGGAAATGATCATATTTACTTGTTTTAAACTGTTTTTTTACATTTCTTCAGTTACTTTCTGGTTTCCATGCCTAGGCAAATGATGTCATACATCCCAGGAGTCTTCGGGAGGGCTTTTCTCAGCTAAGCACACCTATCTGCATACCTGAGCTAAGGGCAGATGGATTCTAGAAAAGAATTGCTAAATGACTCATCTGCTCTTACTTAGGATGGCCATGGCCAGAAATGCTAGAGGGGTGTGCCAGGGAGAAGTGAGTGCTGAAGTGTGGAATGGGGTAAATGCTACACTTTATTCCTGTACCCCCGATCTTAAAGCTGAATTCCAGGTATGGATTTTATAGCATGTTACAGTATGTATACATTTGTTATGCCTGAGGGACTGCTGTCTTCCTGGTCCTGTGCTGAGCAGCTGCCCTGCTGTACACTGACAGCAGGCGGTCGCTTCCTAGACTTGGCAAGAACTCTATTCTTAACCCCTTCACGCCGGTGCCTCCCGGCCCTTAAAGCGTTTCAGAAGCCGGGAGGCGATGCAGGGTTTAGGGTCATGTGACCGCTGTGGCGCATCCAATCAGACAATGTCTTGCATGCATTGAGGAAAAATGTAAGGTGTCCTGTGAATGGCATCTGTGCTGAACTAGCAACCCCCTGTGTTCACCATCTAGCAGGGTAGCCACTCGGCACAGAACTAAAGCTTCCACATCGGTCCCTCAGGTATGGCATATGTATACCTACATTGGTCCATGCTGGACTAGTGTAACTATGCTATAAAACCTACCTGGAGTTCAGCTTTCAGTGTTTGACCCTTGATGATGTAAGAGGGGTTTTGGGAACTGCAAGGGCAAATCTTGAGCAATTCCTGCAGTTCAGCTTTTAAAGGATGAGTTCACCTTTTTAGACAAAAATAATAAATGCACTTTTTTTTTTTTTTTTGTTTTTTGCAGGTAAAAAAAACATGCATTTATTTTGTCTACAGGAGCCTGGAAAGCATTGCACCAGCGATCAGATCACTAATGCCATGCAGGTCTCCTGCAGACCTGTCAGATTATCTGCTTGCCGTATGGGGTGTATGGCCAAGCAGATATTCTGACAAGAAGCTTCAATGAACTACTACGGCGCTCCACAATGGCGTGGTAATTCTTTGAAAACTGCAAACCCAGAGCCGCTAAGGCTGCCAGGACTTGCAGCTCATTCATGCATGGAAGTCCGTGAATGAATGATGCTGCCGTGTGTGGCCATGCTGTTTTCAAATATGACAGATCGTACGGGAGACTTTTCTCCATACTATCTGTCAGAGGGAAGGGGGTGGCTGCGGCTATGGGAACATGTTACATGTTCCACTCTTTTTAAGGTGGAACATGTAACATGTTCCCAAAGGTGAACTTCTCCTTTTAGGAAAGCTGCTGGAAACTTGCTGAAACTTTTGTAAGTGCTTGCTGTGCGCACCGGCTAGTGTTTACAAGCTGTTCTGTCTGTAGTATTGCTGAGGTGCAGTATACACAGGAGAGAAAAATGTGCGTACATTTGAATTCCATGTTTAAATACATGAAATAAGATGCGTGAACGGTTTTCTTTGGAGTTGTACAAGAGTGGCTGTACAAGAACTAGATTTTGTATTTTGGTCCTCTTGATGAAGGGGTGGGTTTGCATTGCTTTGTGATGGGTTTTTTTTTTTTTTTTTTTTCTACTCATTAACTGGATGGGGTCACATTCAGTTCATTATAAGTAATGTGACTAGCAGTGGCATTCCTAATCTCAGCGTGTTCCATAGAGGAATGCTGGAAGCAGTTCGGACGGGACAGAAGATTCCGATTTCTCTACAGACATGGAGCACACAGACAGTTCTGAAAGCGATGGAAATTCCCGGGGACCTGCACGCATTACCAGATCCACTGCAAGGCTCAGCCAGAGCTCGCAAGGTAACATCCTCTCATCCTTACACATTATTCATTTTATAGGAAAGTAGATATGGTTTTGCTCTCAGGTGTTTGTGCGTAGTGGAAATAAAATATCATTTGTCATTTTTTTATTTAACTGATGTAATTCCTGTTCTTGAATGTTTGATATATGTGGATATGTAGCGCCAAGTGAAGAGAAGCAGACGGGTATCTAGCATATGAAGTGATCAGCCTTACTGCTTAGGCAGCCATGTCAGGCCTAGATGCTGGGACAGTAAAGAATCAATTCCACTCAGTGGAGAGGGTGAGGTGAGTTTGTGTAAATAACACATCCTGCTGACATTTGTCAATGTTGTCAGGCTCTCTTTAAAGCGGAGTTCCACTCACTAGCTGCTGACAGCCACTCGCCTGTCCCACGATCCCGCATTGCCCCTGCCGCAGCCAGTTTCACTGGCTGTCCTGTTTTCCAGGCGCCGGCATCTTTAGTGTGGGCATCCGGCTGTGATAGCTTGCGGCTTCACAGCCGGGTGCCCATTGCGCATGTGCAAGAAGTGCTGCGCTTCCTGAATGGCCCTGTAGTGTTCTGGGACCTCTCGCGTGTCCCAGAAGACTACAAGGAGGGAGGGTAGAAGGACAACTTCTGCTTCCGATCACCTGGGCAACCGAAGTGGGAGCTGGTACCTGTCAAATTCAGGTACCCGTTTCACCCCCCCAAAGGTGCCAATCTTGAATGTGGAGCAGGGGACCAATCTTTAAAGCGGAACGTCCCCTTTTGGGTGGAACTCCGCTTTAATGTAGGAAGTTTCTCATATCCTTTTGGCTTTGACAAGTCATACATACAGAAACCCAGTCCTGTACTGGAAGTACCTTGTGCCAAGAAGCAAAATGATGGTGGTGATCACTGTTTCCCAAAGTTCCTATTATCTCGCTTAAGACACCCCCACCCCAACACACACGCCTTGACCTGTGCCTGAAGGAGCCTCGGCAGAAAAAAAAAATGATCACGTTTCCTGCACCAGAAACTACTAATCTGACATTATGGATGTAATGCAACGCCATACATGGGTCAAATTTCAAGCAATTTTTTGTCCGAAAATTGAAAATGTCGTTTGCTCGGTAATCCGATGGCGCCATCAATTGTTTCGAAAATCGACTGACCAAGTCATAAATTTCACCCCATATAACAGGTGAAACTTCTGTTCCTTCCAGGTCACGGCTCATGCTCATATTCTTTTTGGAAAAATGATCATACGATTTGACCATCATTGAATCGAAGATAGTTTTTTCACGAATTTTCCAACATGCTCGATTGCCAAAGAGGATGAATCATGAAATTCGGCCAGTGCCATTGACCCACTAACAGAGCAAAAATCGGCCAATTGATTATTCTTAGGCCTGATTTTTGGACTAAAAATCGGTCGAATTTCGACCCATGTATGGCCAGCATAAGACTTTAGGCAATACTTGTGTTGGAGAGGTTTGTAAATGGAATTGTCCGCTGTACATTTTAGGTGCAGAATGGATACATTCATGTCCAATAAGCAGGAACTGGATTTGTTTTTCGTTCAGGAAGCCAAGGGAGCTTTTGCCTCCAATGAGGCTCATGAAATTTATCCAACATGGTCTTAAAGATTACATCTTATTAAGCATTGCCCTGAGTTTTAACTGTGTTCCTTGCTCCAGCAGGCTCCCTCCTGTGCTAGCGGCCCTTCTAAGCACCTTCTTTGAGAAGCTGTGGGCCATGGTTGCAGGCTTGGGCCTTATTCTAATGGGTGTACCTTTGCATACACCCGTGTGAAGGGGTGTTTTTTCTTTTTTCGCATTTGTATCTAATGGGATGCAGGGGCTGCACGGACACCGCTGCTAGTTGTAATTTGACAGCCGTGCAGGTGCACACTGTTTGCGTTCGGGGATTCATATCAAATTGGGATCAGCAGCTACTACATTCCAATAGACACAAATGGGACGGTCTGTACATGGATGCACGCAGCACCTGTGCATTTCGTTCGGGCAAAGATGGTCCTTCACACGGGTGTACGCATAGTTATGCCTGTGTGAATGGGGGCCTGTCTTCCTTCCTTCCTTCCTTGCATATGATTTGGGACCAACACGGCATTGGGCTTTAAATCAAACCTTTTGTCAAACTGAAGAAAAAAAAGAAGCCTGAAAAAGATTATAAATTCTTGAGTTTCCCGCTGACCATGCTACCAAAAACTGCTCCATTAAATAGAAATCCTTCTCTTCCTTTCTAATGTCTGTTGAGAAATCAACACTTCTGGGAGTGTCAGTCTCCTGTGTATCCCACCAGCTCTGTGAGTCCTTCCTCCATGTCACTACTTTGTCTTGAAGGGAGATGAAGATCAGCTGGAGAAACCAGTGGGGAGAATTTTTCATTTCGGTGACATGGTCACTTTTTTTTGCGAACGTGTCCAAAACCAGAACTTCTACCTTCATGAGTACACATTATTTCATACCTGAATACTCGTAGTCTCATGCCTGGAGCTGTGTTTTCATTATACATTTTAAATGGGGAGCTTGTCACTGATCTAAGCAGCTGATTGCTAGAAGCTGCCATTGTCTGACCAGCAAGTCGCTACTAGCTTCATTGACTTGTAGTGACGCTGACTGGATTTGAATTTTAGCATGAAGCCTCTGAGACAGTCAGTCAATCATGGGCTGGATCTTATAACCAATATTGAACTGTTAGACATATTCGACTTAGCATCTGGTCAATAACTTTTCCTATCTTACAATTTTCATTCCATTAGCCCTGGTTCATACCAGTGTGACTTGTCATGCGACTTGAGCATTTAATGTCGCATGACAGGTTGCACCCCATTAGCGGGAATGGAACTGTTCAAATTGGGGCGACTCAGGTTGCAGCAACTTTGAAAAAGGTTCCTGCACTATTTTTGTGCAACTTCATTGCAACTGTTAAAGCGGAGCTCCACCCAAAAGGGGGAAGTTCTGCTTTAAGGACTGCTCCCCATTAAGGATTGGCACCCTTGGGGAGCGGGTACCCGAATTTGACAGCTACCCGCTCCCACTTCCGGTCCGATCGCCTAGGCCAGGGGTAGGCAACCTGCGGTTCTCAAGCTGTTGCAGGACGACATGTTCCATCACGCCTCTGCAAGTCATAGCTATAACTGTCAGTTTTGTAATGTTGCAATGCCTCATGGGAAATGTAGTTCCACAACAGCTAGAGAGCCGCAGTTTGCCTACCCCTGGCCTAGGCGATCGGAAACGGAAGGTGTCCTCCCTCCCTGTTGTTTTTTTGGGACACGTGACAGGTCCCAGAAGACTACAGAACCATTCATGAAGTGCAGCGCTACTCGCGCATGCGCAGTGTGTACCCAGCTGTGAAGCCGCAAGCTATCACAGCCGGGTGCCCACACTGAAGATTTCGGCCTCCTGGAATACCGGACGGCCGGTGAAACGGGCTGCGGAGGGGACACCAAGGGACAGGTAAGTAGCTGTTTTTAAAAAGTCAGCAGCTACAGTTTTTGTAGCTGCTGACTTATTTTTTGACTGGTTGAGTGGAACTCCACTTTAAATGAAGTCACACAGAGCGTCAACAAGCCACAATGAAGTCACACTGAATAGTCCGCTTTGAAGTTGCACGAAGTAGAGTGATTTCAAAGCCGCACTGGTGTGAACCAGGGCTTAATCTACCCCAACCTAAACATGAGCGGGCCATGTTTGCCAATTCACTTTCAATCAGCAGTGTATGGGGGTTTACAGAATACTCTCCTCACCCACATCCTCTAATCTCCACTTAGTATTGTTGCCTCTTTGACATTTGTGTAGGCTGTAAGTCGGCCTCCGGTTGGTTCTGTAACTGTGCCTAGAAAGGGTGTAACGAAGATGGGGAATATATTTTCAGCATGGCTGCCTACGTAGTTCTGCAGGCACAGTACGGCTTAGTTTACACAGAGGGTTCTTAGGGAGCAAGTGATATTACAGCCGATAGGAACGCTTTTAATTTCATTTAATATAGTCTGCTTAAAATGAATTGCATTCGTTTAGTTTAGCGAGTTCATGTTTGCTCATATTTTAGTTTTGGCTGAATATGTATTACCCTCATCTGGGGAATTTAGCTTTGAGCTGCCGTTCATTAGCAAATTAGCAAAGCAGCTTTCTTTGCCATCCAAACTGTACATGGACAAAGCAATTCGTTTTAATTAGCTCTTGTGCTTCATACTGTTGGCTTCTTAGAGGAGCAGCTCTTTAACCCTAATTAAATAAAGCAACCGTGTCTCTTTACTTCTGAAATTCAAGCTGTTCTTAACTTTCCTTTCGCTGGATCATCGCAATCCTTCTTTTGCTTTGGAGTGAGGAAACGCAGGGACTCTGCTCTGTAATGACTTTCTGGCTTTGGAACAATTCTTCAATGCCAGTGATCTGAATGAAAAATATTTCAGGTTTTCCTTTTGATATATACTAGATTAGACTCCCCTTCCTGGCCTAGTATAAAAAATGCCAATACGTGATATCTCTGGTATCTGTATATGTGTATTGCCAGCACCCAAAGGATTCTAATATAGTCACGTGATCAGTATGACTGACAGTTGCAGGGGACCACTTTTTTGCCACTATGGTAGAGACCTTCACAAGTATTTACCAATTTAACATTTCCACGCTATATAAATTCAAATATCACAAAAAGATAAATGGCACCAAAAAAGCAGCCAGCACAGTATCGCAGGTAACAATATATAAAACAGAAAAAGTACGGCGCTATAAAAAAAAAAAAAAGTTAAAAGTCCAATGATTTCCAGCAGAAATAAAGTCTCTCATGAAAAATGTAAATGAAAAAAAAAAAACAATCACTATGGGAGCCCACCATCACCTCAGAAAATACTGCCTCTTACCAGACTGAAATGACCCCACAATTAAGTGCGGGTCAAGAAAAGCGTAGTGCGGATATCAAATTAGGATGACAAACTCAGACACTTTTGACTTTGGAAGGATAAGCTGATTTCGAAGTGTTGGATCCTTCTCAATGGATTCCCAAATCAAGG